TTCCCTAATTGCAAACTTACGATTGTTATTGTTAACGTCGACTTGCGAAATAGTCACAATGAAGTCCTCAGACGAAGATGCTGACCTTGCAGTTGATATTTATGACGAATGCTTCATATTCTGTTCACAAACACTTTTCGAGCGATATATAACGTAACGGGTTAAATCGAGTTCTTGATACAGATGACCACCTGCAATTATCCTGCCTCTTTCCCCGGATTAAACAACCGCGCGATGACTTATCGACCTCGCGCAGCTACCACAGTGCAATCATAAAACGAAAATCATTGATATGCATGGTTTAGCAACGGCTTCGCATTGTACTCGCATACTGATTGCACTGCTGGATAATATGAAGGGCGACGCCAAATCATTGATAAAGATGATCATCGACCAATGACATAAATTCAAACTCGCGACCGCACTGTACACTCAAAAATGCTGACATCGTACGGTCATCAGAGTGGAAATGTGATAAGAAGTTCACTGCTTCGACAACGGCATCGCAATTCACTCACCATGGGCCGAATCACGCGACTGATGCAGCTGACCACTGTCCAGTTATGCTAATTCAATACGGCGACTGCAGGGCCGAGCGCTGACAGCACCCAAGGGTCTGCGCCGAAACGTTCCATTCGGCATTCGGTTTCTGACTACATCATCCGGAACTAAATGGTCGCGCAGGACGCTCAACAAGCGGATGTGCGGTCTTCCTTTGATCATGGTCACTTCTAATCAAGCCTCAGACTTCATTAAAGACATTTTGTCGTGTCCTCTATAATTGTTGACTGGTCTCTAACTTTATGGTTTTTTCGTCATGTAACCCACCTTTCAACCGATCCACGCGTTCAGCTTCGCTACTTAGGTCTACGGGAGCAAGCAACGACGCAAGGAAATTTTCTCAATGACCGGTCCTTTTTCACTCTGACAAGTTCCATGTGCTGGACGCCAAAGACCGACAATGCCGTGCCTGATATATTCGAACCATGTAAATTTCGGTCTGCCTCATGGTCGTTTTGGCATAGTTTTATAATGAAGAAAAAATTTCTGACAACTTTAATGCCTCCATTTAGTACTGCATGAAAACTACTTCTAGTGACTGTGTCTTCTGTATGACTTCTAAATTATGCTCTCAGTGTTCAAGTCGATCTTTTTTCCATGCTTACCTACGGTCATGAGTCGTGGACCATCAGTGAAAAACTTCGAACCCGGGTACCATTGCTGAAGTGGACTTTCTTAGACGAGTCGCTGGCCTTACGCGTCTCGAAATGGTCCGGAATACTGACATTCAGAAGAGCCTTGCTGTGCAACCTCTTCTTCTCCAGATTGAGAAGTCATAGCTGCGAATTTCTGGGCATGTGTTGCGAATGCTTCCAGAAAGGAAGGCTAAGCAACTGTTCCTTACAAATCCGACCGGCAAAAGCCGAGGGGACGGCCAAGATAACCTGATGCAAATATATGGAAGGAGTATGTTCCAGACTGCATTTATCTTTTGCCGAAGCTCAGACTCTGGCACAGGAATGGGAACTTGGAAGCTCCATCTGACGCGTCTGCCTCCGCGACCCCGAAAGGAAAAGCGACCTTGGAAGATGAAGAAGAGGAATTTAGAAGCCTTACACATAAAATAGCACGTACTCTGTGGAAAACTCTCAAAGCAAAACGACCTTGCCGATGACACAACAAGTCCTTTATGAGATGACGCCGCATGTGAAATTTATTGTATGGGGATTCCCCAACTTTTCGAGCTCAATTCGTTTTCGTGGCGAGACATTATAAAACAGAATGTTACACTGTATATCGGTACTGTCAAGTGCGAGCTTTATTCTGGGTCCCTTGTTGGTAGAAGTAGCTTCCAATGCGAGCGTAGTTTCATGCCAACATTTTAATTGAAGCATAAGTTTGATTGAAGTGCCAAAGCATCCATTTGTTTCATTTATAGAAAGTTGCTCTATATGTGTATTCTATTGATTTGGTCCCATAATTTGCAGTGTCATACTTCTACAGTCGCGCAGTTCTTTTCGCATCCTTACTTCACAATTGCTGGATCTTTCGTTAGTCTTTGCCCTTTCTTTTTTGTGCTTTTCAATTCTGACGTGCATCGAGGTTGTATCGCCTTGTCAGTTCACTGAGGTGTTCTTGGTCCATCTTGTCTCTGTTGTTGCCGACTCTCATAGGTAACCTCTCTGAGACCGTACTCACAAGGCATAATGCAGATGAGTCTTGTTTTCCAGGGATTTTGGTTCGATGGCATTCGTATGCATCAGCTGGGTGCAGAATATTTTTTGGGGTCTTGAATACTAGTCGTATTCCATCCTTTTGGGCCATAGTATCTAACTTTCCGCTTAACATTTGTACGCATGGAACAACTATAGTGTCGATGTGCCGTTGCTCGCTTTCAGTTCTTCTCTTGCGACTCTTTCTTTGCTCGCTGCTAATTCTTTCTTATATTAGTCGTTTAAAGTAGCCGCTATTTCTGAGAGCTCTCCAGATATAAGACAGTGA